GGAAAATTTTGCGACGTTTTATGAAGCACACGAAAGGAAAAGTTCGCGAGTCATTGTGAGTTTCAGCGAACTTTCCCTGTAGATGGATTAGAGACCCGTTTTTGTAGTTTTTACACAAGTGAAGATAGAACTGGGGTTCCTTCTTCCTTTTCCTTTCTCCTACGGCCTTTTATTATTTTTTTTTCTTTTTAGAAAGCGCGTAAAGGCACTATAACCATAAGACATATAGGGCTAAGACAAAAGCTAGTGCTCATGTTCCAACCACTCGAAGAACATGGAGCATCATTTAACTTTTTTAAATTAGATGCTCCCAACGACCAATCATTTATAACAACGGAACGTACGGTATGAGATGTCCACGTTTCATCCATTTATTGGATTCTGAAGCATCGTGTTTAAATCTTTGATTTAAATAGGCCCGATGTTTCTGAATCATCTTGCCCCTTAAATGCTGCACAGTAAGCCTGGCCGTTTTGATATATTTTGCGCATCTCTGCAACATATACCAAATAGACAAGAAAAATCATGAAGGTATATTTATCATTTTCCAGGATGCTTTCAAGAACTGGCTGTGTTGGTGTTCGATAAGATTAGATGAGATGTCTTCCTCAGATTTGACCTCTTTGGGATGCTGCCTTTTCGATGGGCCTTAGTTTCGGTGCATTGGGTTCATGTCCTTGGGTACGAAAGTGACCCCGTTGGCTTCGTACTACTCCAGGAAAACATTTGAATAGTGGCACGAAGCTAGATACGGCCAGCAGATCGTAGTGTTGCTTCAACAGAGGAAGCAGACGCTTCTGTAGACACTCCTTGAGGTAGATCTTCCCGTTTACAGTCCCAATACAGTCACGAATATAGACATTTATTGGATTCAGAAGCATCGTGTTTAAATCTTTGATTTAAACAGGCCCGATGTTTCTGAATCATCTTGCCCCTTAAATGCTGCACAGTAAGCCAGGCCATTTTGATATATTTTGCGCATCTCTGCAACATATACCAAAAAGACAAGAAAAAAGATGGAGGTATATCTATCATTTTCCCAAAACATGTCTAAACTTCCCTGAACATGTTTGGACTTGTATGAAGTTTACGCTCCTCCATGGTAATGTTTCCTTAATTTTCAAGAAGTTTTCGGAACTTTTCAAACGTGTCAAAATTTTTCTTGATACTTATGGTTCTTCCCTTCCCAAGTAACATTGCAAGTTTTATAGTGGTTTTAAAGCATGCTACAAGTCTAAATCATGGTCTACAGAACCCTCATAAAACCAAAATTGTTACTTGGGTTATGACCCTACAGGAATTGTTGGAATTTTCCAGTGGCGCGTGGTAAGCGTGATTGCCTGTGACCCCAAAAGATCTGGGTTCAATCCCAGTGGGCACCACCGGGATTGTCTGACGTATACAATCTCTGATCACACCTTCCGAGAAGTAACAAACAAGATCGACGGAAATCAAATCAAGGAAAAAAATAAAAATAAATTATTCCTCGGTACTTTTTGAAAGTTCCTGCCATTGATTGATGTGACCGCTCTGAAGATCTCTGATCATCCCTCGGAACAACTGTAAAAATAATAAAGATACCTAAAAATCTCAAAACTTTTTGAACCTCTGTGGACTTTCCTGAAGATCTTAGAACTTTTCTGAAGTATTTGGAAATTGCCTGAGTTTCCAGTTAAGTTAATTGAACTACACTGAGTTTCTCTGATCTTTTTTGATTTTCTCGGAGATAACCAGAAGTTGTCACAATTTTCATATGCAGTTCCTATGAAGATTTTCCTTGAACATTTCTGGAATTCTGGATAATTTCCAAACTATGAATATAGTTTTCTAAATTTCGAAGGATTTCTCAGGTAACCAACAAGCAAAATAAGTGGCCTTTTCTAGCTTAGACGGACCTTATCAGAACTTACAAACACTTATATAGTAACTGCTCAGCTGCATACAGCCAAGAAATCATAATAGCGTGCCAATGGTTACATGGGTTCTCTGGACTGATGAAATTTTCCTGGAATTCATGGAGCTGAATTTATCTTAACTATCTTTACAGATCTTTAAACTTTTCCAAGGGTCTGAACTTTCCTGAAGTTCTTGGAACTGCCCTTAAGATGTCAGAGCATGTCTGAAGAACTCTAGACCTTGCTTGTATGAAGCTTATCTATGAATTATCTATAGGTTTTCTCAAGATTTTCGGACTTTGGAAGTTTTATTGATTTCCCCGAAGTTCTTAGCTTTTCTTAAAAGTTGCAGTTTCCTAGCAGGTGGAATTCCTCGATATTTTAAAGAAATTCTCAGATTTTACCTTATTCTTCCGCAGTCTGTTGATGAAGCTTCCCCGAAATCTTTGGTATTTTTTTTTAAATTCCTCGGAACTGCATTGAAGTTTCTAAAACAATTATGGACTACCCTCAAGTTCTCGTATTTCTTCTGAGGTTGTGAAATTTTTCAGACATCAATGAAACTGCCATGAAGATCTCTTAGCTTCCCCGTGTAATATGTACTTCCTTGAATTAGTCGGAGCTTCTGGGAAATTTCCGCAATTTTTAATTAATTTCTCTGTAGTTCTCTAATGTTCTAAGAATTATGTTTTATTTTGGGAGTTTCTTGAAATTTCTTGCTATTTTACTTAATTCAATTTTTGATATTTAACTGAAGCTCTCAGTACTGGCCTCAAGTTTCCGCAATTTTCCTGATATAGACGTAACTGATTTAAGGTTCTAATAACTGTCCCAAAGCTCACGTAGCTTCCCTTAAGATCTTTAAACTAAATTGAACATTTGTCAACTTCTGAAAAGTTCCTGCAATTTTTGTTTAATAATGTATTGGAACAGTTCTAATCAAATCTAATCTAATCTCACTCTAATGCAGTCACTACTTTGAAAGCATCCTGGAAAATGGCGACTTCATTAATCCGTCTCTGAGATGTTTTCAAGGAGTCAAGCGAATGTCAAAAATAAGTATGTGAAACCACTCACTACAATTGAATAGTAGTTTTTATTTGTTCTAGTATGGAGCATAATTGCCAGAAATGTTAATTTATGCGCCTGGCATCTGTGGATGAACTTTTGGCATTTGCACCAAAAGTCAGGCTATTTATATGCTAACATTTAAAACAATAGCCCCAAACGCAAAACTCCTCAAGCTTCAGAACACTCCCACACAATCTAACACCAGCATCGTACAGAGAAAACTCCCTTTGTAGAATGTCAGTGTCAACGCCCTTCACTCACACCAAATGCTAACCTAAATTTAATGCCAAGGTTATAGCGCCTTATCTCGCTCTATGGAAGCGCTCTATTATGGAATTATTGAAAAAAGTAAAAAAGTCAAAACGGATTGATCTAACCAAAAAAAAAAAATAACCTCCTCCTTTTGAACCCTGATGAATGTGGGCGTCTATGTGCAATACCAATCCTAGTAATTTAATGGAACAGTTCATGAAATGTTCCTGAAATCTATGGCACTCCCCTTAATCCATCGAAACCAAATACTAAGAAGCTTACTGCCTCAAAAAAAAAGTTCAAAAAATTATTGGAAAATTATATCAAAAATCTTTTTCTCCAATGCTAAAGAAAATAAAACAATTATTTTTCTATCTCATCATGGCAAAACTTGAACTTAAAAATCAGCCAAAATCGTTCATAGCTATTTTAACTTAACAAACTAACAGTTGTTTGAGCTTCTTAAGTAATTTCAATGTCATTCTGATGTTGGGATTTAAGCAAACATTTAGTTTTCTTTGACAATTTAAAACCAGTTTTAAGTTACAATGCAACTTTACTGGTGCGCCACAAGCTTATGAAATGTCTCAAAGTGGGTCGCAATTGAGAAAAGCTTGAAAACCACTGCTTGAAACTAATGCTTTTGCAATAGACAATATCATACAATATATGTTCGGTTTTGGTAAATATCAATAATGTCTCCAGAATTACTCATAAAATTTTCCGGGACTTTTAGAATAGTATTAAATGGGGTATGTAGTTTTCAAATGCTGGATAGAATCAAATGAAAGTGAAGTGAGAAGATTTCCCAAAATGGGATCCAAACTGTATTTAAATTCTTAAATAACTTATGAAAGCTCAAACAGTTTATTAAAAATGGAAAATCCTTAGCCAGGTAGAAATAAAGTTAGTGGGTTGTGTTCGAAAAGTCAAATGGCCCACTAGCGTCGCGTGACGAACGAAATCAAAACTATTTATCATGCATTAGGGCTTGACCAAAACAAACCACTTTGTCAAGGAAAGCAATCTTCTACCTTATCGAGCTGTCAAGTTAAATGAGCTTTCTTTTAATTTTGTCGAACCTCTTAACGGAATTCCTTTATGAAGAGTTTTTTGAGTGTGTTGATTTATTTCCGTTATAATTGCTTATCTTTTGACAGACACGCGTATTTCGTCTACTACTTGCAGACTTCATCAGTGTCAACTCAACACTAAATGAGCTATTAAAATTAAAATGGCACACTAGCTCCACATGGTGATGACATCCTCAACTGCACTGGTTTTGTCCATCTGATCAACATTACCAAAGACAGTATCATTCTATCTTGATGAACTAACAAGTTAAATCAATCATTTAGAAAATGGCACGTAAACGCAATCTGGTTAGTGATCATAATGTTCACCATCCAATAAATCTTGTCTATTCGATCTCTCTACTTAGATATGCATCGCTCTTTGGAGCATCGTTTGTTATTTTCTATTATAGAAATCTATCGTGAAGAACAATCAAATTCGCAGCTAATTCATTTTAAAATAGAACGGTTAAACATCAATAAATAAGGCACCGTTGAGATACACTCTCTCACATAAAATGATTTTCAAAACATTCATAAAATCAATCATTCAAATAACGGGTGAATCCAATTGTATTCCAACTCAGATACGTCCATTTGAAAGTTCATGTTACATATTTCTTATGCCATCGTTGTAAGCAAATGTTCAGTCGTAATGTTCCTCCAAATGGGCTATAATCGCTCTCATTTGTCTTTTCTCTACTTACAGAAACCAACCCGGCATTCACGTACTGCACACGTGATCCAACAAAACATATAATTTCTGCAGTTGACACTGGTGTGTCACAAAGCCGCTGCCTGTGGAAAAAAGTGTTTTTGTAGTGTGTTCGTTGTAATTGCCCGGAAAGATCCTTTCGTGTTGTGCTAGTGACTGGGCTGTGTGACAAGTGAAATTGTGAAGAAAAGTCCCAGTAAACCCGCCAGCCACGATGGATTCCCTATTCAGATATCGTCGAATGCCGTTTCCCAAAAGGTGAGTTTTTGATCGACCCTCATTAATCTTCCAAGTGATGCACATTTTATACAATTTTAAAGGAAAAGCGTCGCAATAATGTGATAAGCTTTAGAAAGTCCGATTCCTCGCAATGCAAAGTAGCGTTTTCCGTCATTCACCTAGATTGCCTACGATTAAATGTCATGCTGAGCGCGACTTGGAGACCATCGAGAGAAATGCACCATTTTCCGCCCAAAAGCCCCAACCCTGTACCGTCTCGAGAGCTCCAGCGAACTTATCTAGCATCTATTGTAGCGCGCATAATCACCATTAGCATAATGTTTGCATTGTTCACACTTGAGCGGCTGGAAATTAACATAGTGTGGCAGGCAGGCAGGCAGGCAGGCAGACAGGCAGATATCCAACAAGCCACCACCCGCACTGCTCGAGGCCAATGGCCAGATCTAGGTTCCTTCAGTTTCTCCCTCAGTGATATTAGACTAATTGCTTTTTCGATGGACAGTTTGAGCGGTAATTGTCATTTTGTTTGAGTCGGCATTCCAGAAGTGGTCAACTCAACTCTGTGGTGTCACTGTCCAGAGACTACTGACCCTGTTGGAACAGGTCAGGTATTCACGATGTTTACGGACACTTCAAATCAGGATGAGAAGCGTACCTTGAAGCATCATGGGCACTTTCACAGGAGATCATTTTGCAGCCATCTTTTGGGCTATTTCAGTTGTGCTTTTCAGCATAAAAACCCATATTGATCCACCGGGTAGGTGTATAGAGCCTTCGATACCCAGAACAATCTCATTTTTGATATTATCTAGATAAACTAATTAGGGATCGATTGGGAATGTTTTATACAGGTGGTATCTCCAACACCAAACGTCACATCGGTATGAGATCTTTCCACTGTGAAAATTTCATGTTGATAGAGTGTACCGTTGATTTTTGATTGGTTAATTCTGCCCTGCATATCTCCGGAACAGGAAGTCATAGCCAGAAAGTAATCAATAGTGATCAATGGCGCGATGAGACCTTTCAAACGAGATATCAACCATGTTGATCGGATAAGTCATCTCGGAGAAAGCATGTCTAGATGGTACGCGTCCACAGATGCACATACAGACATCAACAAATCTCGTCTTGCCGGGCTGATTTTTCATATTCAATTTGATTCTACGATGTCGTAATCAAACTGTCGAGCCAGATCAAGCAGAGATCTATCGATTGGAAATGCTTTATACAGGTGATGGCTTGTGTGGATGGCTATCGGCCACAGACGGCCGATATATTACCTATACAAAGCTTCAACCTCACGAAACAGAAGCAAACATAATCAATTATATTGCTCACTATACCCATTGTGAACCTACTCTAATAGCTTGCCATCGACTTATCCGCAGTGGTGAAGATAGACCATTGTCATTCTTGTCGTTCAAACTCAATGTTCCTTCTAATATTGAGCAAACTTTGCTTTCGGATGGATGGCCAAATGGAGTATCCATAACTCCTTTTTTAGACCGGAGATCCAACAGGCACAAACCGGTTGGGTGCAGGTGGATCTCTTCGGCATGAACCCATGTTGTGTCGCGGAAGGTCAAATGATTCGTCAGTAAATACTGCTGAGAATTTTTCTTTGAAAAGGTCAGTTATGGCCGGAAGAGATGAAGCTTCTTTGTGGCCGAGCTTCATGGTTGAAGGTAGTCCTATTTCCTTCCGCTGTTCGTCGATATATGGCCAGAACTTCTTAGGATTGTCATTTAAATTACGTTGAATTCGACGCAGATAAGTATGAAACAGTTTTTTGTTTAGCCGTTTGTATCTACTGTTGCAGGTGAGGTAATACGACCGTATTTAGGAGTTACGATTCTTGGACAGTTTTTTAAGAGCCGATCTTTTAACCGACTTCAGGCGCTTAAGAAGGTTGTTGGACCAGGGTGGGTATACAGAATTTTTACACACTATTTTGGGAGTGAATTGATCTATGGCGTAAGCTACACGACGAAAGTGAAGACTTCAACTGTTGTTTCGACGCTCAAATCATGCAACATGTTCTCCCAACCGATAGAGGATAAAAATAGATTTATTTTCAAGAAATCAGTTTTTCTGAATGTATAACGAGTGACTTCGATGACAGGGATGAATTCATAAGGAACACATTCCTTTATGAATAATTGAAGAGGCGGATCATGGCGGCATTCCTTAACAAGAGGGGCTGGAGCTTCAGAAACAGTAGTTTCGTGATTGAGATCTTGGCTAACAAAACAGAGATCAAGCAAGCGATGGTTGGAGTTACAGACAGAGTTGAGCTGGATGAGTCCCGCTGTACTATAATCATCCAGGAGTTGATTTTGAACTAGGTTCATCGATGAGTGCGCAAGGTCGGGATGCAGGTAATCCGATGAACTTTGAATTCAGTTCACAGAACTCATGTTAAAATCACCCAGAATGAGGATCTTGTCTGCCAAAGACATGCGTAAGGTAATCCAAACTAATGATTCACAATGTTTAGACATCAAAGTTGCATCGGTGACACGGTCAGGAGGTACGTAAATGACACAAATGTTGGTAATACTATATCAGAGCCATTCCATGAAGTTTCTGCAGAATTGCCGCTAATACAACGTGCCTACACATCATTTGTTCATCGATTTCAAATCCGCATACGACACAGTCGATCGAGATCAGCTATGGCAGATTATGCACGAGAACGGATTTCCGGATAAACAGACACGATTGGACAAGGCGACGATGGATCGAGTGATGTGCGTTGTTCGAGTATCGGGGACACTCTCGAGTCCCTTTGAATCTCGAAGGGGGTTACGGCAAGGTGATGGACTTTCGTGTCTGCTATTCAACATCGCGTTAGAAGGTGTGATCAGAAGAGCTGGGAGACACGAGAGGCACGATATTCAGGAAGTCCATTCAGCTCCTTGGCTTCGCCGATGACATTGACATTATGGCACGGAACTTTGAGATGATGGCGGAAACGTACATCAGACTGAAAGCTGAAGCTTAACGGATTGGACTTGCCATCAACGCATCAAAGACAAAATACATGAAAGGAAGAGGTTCTAGGGAAGACAATGTTAGCCTCCCACCCCGAGTTCAGATTGACGGTGACAAAATCGAGGTGGTCGATGTGTTCGTGTATTTGGGCTCACTGGTGACCGCCGAGAATGATACCACCAGAGAAATTCAAAGACTCATTATGGCAGGTAATCATGCCTTTGGACTGCGGAGGACGCAATAAAATTCGCCGCCATACGAAGTTGACTATCTACAAGACGCTGATAAGTCCGGTGGTCCTCTACGGCCATGAGACCTGGACTATGCTCGTGTAGGACGACGGTGTTTTCGAACGAAAGATGTTGCGTAACATCTACGGTGGAGTGCAGATGGATGATGGAACGTGGAGGAGGCGAATGAACCACGAATTGCACCAGCTGCTGGGAGAACCATCCATCATCCACATTGCAAAAATTGGGTGACAACCCAGTGAAAATGGTTCTCGAAAGCGACCCAACAGGAACAAGAATAAAAGGTGCGCAGCGGGCAAGATGGATCGACCAAGTAGAAGGTGACCTTCAGACCGTTCGCAGACTACGAGGCTGGAGAAGTGTAGCCATGAATCGAGTAGAGTGGATACAACTTCTTCGAACAGCAGAGGACAACAAGGTCTTAGGCTGATTGCTATGTAAGTTAAGCTTTTGTCGAAACATTCAATAGAACCGACCACTACACCCAACCGGTGGATGTAAGATTCGCTTACAATTATGTGGGATTCATCATCAGAGGATGTAAGTGGAGACCGCATGAACCGAGGATGCGATATACCTAGCTGCGGTCCGATGTAAGAAAATTGGAGACCGAAAAATGTGGAGTTGTATTAGTGAGTGAAATTAATTATGTCGAAAAAAACAGAAAAAAGGTTGCCGACTGGACTCGAACCACGGACGTTGCGACTATCAGACCTGTGCTTTCTTCACTGCTCTCTTCATGCTTCTGAATATGGGCAGCCTAAAAGCAAACATGAAGCGCTCATTTTCTCGCATGCTCGACTTCGTATGCTTTTTCTGCTGGAGAGATTCGAGTTAAGTGTGTGCGTCGTTCTACAATGTTCTTCAATGTACGTCGTTCTACAAGCTTACTGGTATAGTCGAAACCGTAGATGGAACACGAAATAAAAAAAGACAAAAAACCATTACATCGCCTGCATGGTCAATTTCTAACATTCGTTGCGATGTTCATGAACAGAGGATGATTGGAAACGGAACTAACATTAATTGTAATAGATTTTTGGTTTGCGTGTAGGAGTGCTTATATAAAATAAATTATGTGTACAAGTTATACGCCATTTTGGAACATTTGCATGGTTCAAAACGGTCATATTTTAGCTCAAATATGAAACTACCATTAAGAAACAAAAATGCAAAGTTTCATGCAAAAATCGAATATGAAATTCAATTTATCTTTGCGATTTGGCCTGGAAATTATCTGTGTCGAATTTTTCAAATAGCATACATTTCAAGTTGGAACAGTGAAATACTGAATAGTAAACAACTTATTGAACTTATTTCATCATTCGGATTCAGCTATTTTGCCTAATACAGTTGAATGAGTTTCCTCATGGCGGGTTCACACATACACTGAACCAAGACATAATTCTAGGTTTGAATGATTATTGCCTCACCCAAGCCATAGTCCTATAATCAGATGATGGTGAGATGATTCTCATTCGGCGCAGGTGGGTAAAAACAATGCGAATGTAAATCATACAGATTATGTCAATCAAGCTCAAAATTATAACGATAATTTTTGGATACTTGACAGGACGTCACAATATCAACTTCAATTGATTGACAAAATTGATGCGTAGAAGAGACTCCCGTCGCTTCATTTGTCTTTCTTTCGAGTGGAAGAGCGCTCAACTTTCATAATTTCGTGTTTCAGGAAACACATCAACAGAGGTTTTATGACGTTTATGATGGAAAGTGAAAATATATATACATAAAGCGTTTTTCACGTGG